AAGGCTTTTAAGGCAGAAGGGGGAGGAAAAATGACGTTTCTAAAGAGTGAATTGTTCTAGGCAAGGTCACCTTCCTTTGGGGAAGGGTGGGGGTCTACCATGCAGATTACCTCACCAGAATTGATGAGGAAACTCCAGATTGATTGGTTTAAAATTCCCCTCCTGGAAGAAGCTGAAACTGCAATTAAGTCTCGGTTCACTGATGAACCAAGTGCTAAGGGCTTAGCTCAAGTGACTCCATTTTCAGACTTGTTTCTTTTTAACACCTCTTTTAATACGGATACTTTAAATCGCTTACATATTTAAAATACACAGACAAGAAGAAATGCCAAAGCAAGCGGGGACATGATTCATTCTCTTTAGTCACATATCTGGATCGAACATGCAGTTTTCTGATGCTTGGTCTAAGGAATATAGGTTCTGAAGCAAAAAGTAGTTATTAAGGTTTAGGAAAAAGCATTTAAATGGTGTAGATAACAGTACAGGACGCTCAAATACTTCTATAATAGATCATTTGTGTTTTCTATTCTATATTTGACATTTAGGCTAAAAATTAAACAAGTTTCTTAGACTATCTCTTTTACAAAAGAAAGTTTAAATTACTAAGAGAAATGGAAACTTCTACAAATGATTAGCTTTTGAAATTCAAACGATTACTTTCATTTACAAATAAACATACTTTCTTGGTAAGCAGCTTTAATGTTCAATTATTCTGATAATCTAACCAATTATAACTTGACATTTTAAATATACATGTTAAGTATATTTTACAATAAGTAGGCATATATACACAGAGATTAGTATCTTACGTCAAGCGTTCAGGTGATGAAGTATGCAAGTAGAGGTAGGTAAATAAAAGGAAGACAAAAAAAAAAAAAAGACAGGGGCCGGCCAGTGGTGTAGCGGTTAAGTGCGCGAGCTCTGCTGCAACGGCCAGGGGTTCGAAGGTTCGGATCCCGGGCACGCACCGATGCACCGTTTGTGAAGGCATGCTGTGGTGGCGTCCCAAATACAGTAGAGGAAGTTAGCCCAGGGCTGACTTTACTTCCTCAGCAAAAGAGGAGGATTGGCATCAGATGTTAGCTCAGGGCTGATCTTCTCACACGCACACACACAAACAACCCAAACAAAAGTAATATGAGGTGGGCAGGATATCCTGCCCTCTAGGCCAATTGCAGCAAGGAATAAAGACAAAACTTTTAAGGGTGTTTCTAGGAGCACTGTTGGAATTCTCATTAAATTTGTTAATGGAACACCTCATTAATTTGAATAGTCTCTGGTACATGCTTAGTAAGTGAAATATGATCCTTCAGTATCACTTGAAAAATTCTTGCAAAAACAAATTTTTAAAAAAAAATTTTCCCAAGAGTCACAGGTTTCTTAGAAACTGGGGGTCTAGTTTTGATAATGTGAAACTACACATCCTTCACAAACATGCTCCTGCACACATTTAGGACTTGACATTTACTTCAGTACTTTATCAAATACCGACTTTTATTCTCCTTTAATTACTTAATATGTATAATGTGATCTCCCAAAGAAAATATAAACTATTGATAATGGGCCCCAAGTCCTATATAATCATATTTCAATTATCTCAAACATATTTTTGAACTGAATAATCTATAATTGTTCAGGAACGACAAATTTTAACTTTTTCTTTTGAAATAATTTCAGATGGACAGAAAATACATACAAATAATTCCTGTATAGTCTTCACCTAGATTTTCCAAACAGTAACATCATATTTTCTTTATCAGAAAATAGCAAGTACTAATTAAAAGCATGTCAAAATCTGCTCAATAATACCATATTTATTTACAATGAGGATAATAAAACCACTCTAGATATTTCTACTTACAGTAGGAATATTAAAGACTCAAGTTTAAATTCAAATACAATCCTAATTTTACACCTTTTACTATCTTTAAAAGGTCAGGTTTTTTTGTTTTCTTTCCCCACCAAAATAGGAACAACGTACAACCCTAGGAGGCTACAGCCTGAATAACTGGTTTAGAAATGTAGAGCCTTAGGCAAGCCAACAGCCCAGAAGGCCACGTGCTAGCGTGTGTTAAGTGTGTTTCTGTGTGTGTGGGTAGGGGCCGGGCCTGCTCCCTGACATGACAGTGAATGTGATCCCTGTCCTGGAGCTTACAGTATTTCAGACTGTGGAAATGCCTACAGGATTAGACTTTTTATGCCTTGAACTGTGCAGTTTTTAGAGCAAAACTGAGTAAAGAGACCAGATTCTACCTTTCAAGGTCTGTCCAATCCCGAGACGACACTAACTATAAAGTAAGACTAGACAGCTTTAGTGATTTATCATATGATACAAGTCTGAAAGTGGACAAATCAAACCAGTTCATTCCTTTTTGTGACTACTTTGGGGGGAAAAAACCCACCAAAAAAACCCAAAGTTTAGTAAACTGTTTTATCTTAACACTCGGTAGTAACCTTTCAGTCCAACTAAGGTTGGACAAATCAAACCAGTTCATTCCTTTTTGTGACTACTTTGGGGGGAAAAAACCCACCAAAAAAACCCAAAGTTTAGTAAACTGTTTTATCTTAACACTCGGTAGTAACCTTTCAGGGAACTAAGGGGGAAAAAACAGAAAAAAAAAACACAAATCCACGGCTGGCTGTCTTGTGACATGTTAGCCAACTCCTGGGAGGCTGACCTTTAGTTTAGAGTGGAGAGCGAGCTAACAAAACAGGTCCAAAGGTGGAGGGGACTGGGGGTGCTGTGGAGCCACACTGGCTTCCAGGACAAAGGTTACACACTGGAGTCACGGTCAGAGCGTGATCCTTTAACAAATGAACCCAGAAGAGATTTCTGAAGGCACACACAGACACAATATGGCAAAGCACACCGGCACCACACACCCGGGACCAGGCTATGGAACGGCGGTTCTACGACAGCTCAGCAGACGCGAGACCACCGGAAACAAATCAGGCTGAGTGGCCGCTTCCTTGCAGTTCACATCCACTTCGTTCTCTTCACCCCACAGTTCCTTTTTGTCATTTGCCGAAATATTCTTGGGTACTCCACTTACCTCGTCCGTTAGGGAAGCCTACACCTGCACCCTGATCTTGGCTCAGTCGGCTCCACCTCCTCTGGGTTAGCGCGATCAGGCTCCGCCCACTTTTAATTGCTCCTCCCCTCGCCGCGAACAAAATGGCGCCCCGGTCTCGCACCTCCTCCCACCTCTCACTTTCTTCCCGGAGTTAAGATGTTATCGCGAGACTTCGGCCCCACTATTAGCTGCGTTCCGTGGGTGGCCTATCCTTTTCTTCCGCGCAGCTGTGGAGGGAGGTGGTTGTCGGCGTGTAGGAGTGCGGAGGGCGAGAGGTTGCTGGAGGCACCCCTCCGAGTCCTGGGTTGCGGGCAGCGAGTACGCAGCTGAGGCCCGTGCTGAGCCGGCGCTTGTTGGTGCAAGCCGCCCGCCAGTCTGGATGGGTAAGGAAGAGGACATGGCCGCCCGGGCCTGGTGGGCGAGGGAGGGGTTGCTCGTCTAGCTTTTCCAGGGACCCCCTCCGTGTTGCTCGCGAGGATCTAGCCGTAGAAGTCAGGCCCTGAGTGCGGGGGCTGGCGGTTGTGGGCTTCAGGCCTACTGGCTGGACTGCGGCCGGCATAGGCGATTATAGTGTGGACGGGGTCCAGCGTATCTGGGATGTAGATGTTAAAATGTATTACAGACAGGTACACGTTTTCTGAATTAATCTTGATAAGCGCGGGGTAACCATTACTGACACCATTTTCCTTGCATGAGGTTAGGTACTTCCCGGAGACACTCGTGCCAAGGTCACTCAGTGAGGGGTTAAAAGCATTGTTAGCGCGGGTAAAGCGCTCTGTCGGGCCATGTGGCCTCTCATCGCAGTCTCGGAATAGCAAGCGACACTTAGTAGGAATGCTTTCTAAACAGTTTCCGAAAAAGTGATTTTTGAATTAGCTCCACTTTATTTTGATAATGCGCTGATATTTAAAAAAAATTTAACCTCAGGTATAGCATCAGTGCTATTGGACTCAATTTTGAGTTTTTGAGCAGTTATTTCATGAATTCTTAGATTCTGCATTTTAAAAAGCTACAGTAAAACACCATGAAATTACCACGAGTCCTTTGGACGTTTTGCAAATCTAAAATCTGTGTGACCTTATTGATAGCTTTACTTAGTTGTCATTCTCGAGTATGCTAAAGACTAAGAAAAATACAAAAACGGAAGAATGATGGCATTCTCTATAAGGGAGATGGCGGTAGTAAAATAAGACGTCTTTTTTCTGTTATTTTTGCTCAAACTATTGTAAAATCTTCTAAGGAGATAAAAAGGAACACAAAGGGCACCATTGTTGCAGTCTGAGAGCCTTTCATTGAAAAGTTTGAGAGTTCAGAACTTTTAAATTAATACCCATAATGGCAAAGAGATAATATGCTAATGAAGTTTTACAGTGACTTTGATGAATCATAGTTTGAATGAGAAGAGGCCATAAATGAAAATCCCAGACCAGGAGCTTAAAATGGTCTGTTGGGTTGAGACTAAATCTTGATGATTATTTTTCTTGGTGTAGTGAGGCCACAGTCTGTCTTCTGGCTTTGTAAAATTTCCTAGGAGTTACCATGTGCTCTTGGAAAATGGCTTTTGGGCCACTAATGGTACATTAATACTCATAATTGTACATTACTGTATGGCTAATATTTTTTACTGTTATGGAAAAATGTTGGATACTTCTGTGGAAATGACAGTACTCCATTGGATAGATTTAGAAAGCACAAGTGAAAGAACAGGTGAATAAAATTTCTAGGTTTTAGAATTTGATCTGAAATGGACAGTTCCTACAAGAAAATGTTAAAGGCCTTTTATGTGATTTTGCCTTAATTGATGTATAATGGCATAACGTGGCTACATCAAATTTTGCATTACGTGGATATTAGCTGTTTGTGTTAGCATTTATTTGTTCAGGGAAACTATATCACATTCACAAATTTTATATTGTCAAATCTGTTTAAAGCAAAGAACAACTGACGAATAAAACAATTTTGAGAGGGATTTGGAGAATACATATCACGAATGGATTCTCTCGACTGTATAACGCCATCTGATTCAGCTGTGGAAATTGAAAATCAAAGGTAGGTGCGTTTTTTTATGTGAGCAACAACCACCACCAGATTTTTACTGGGAAACAGATTGGATGATGATGTTTACTGTATTTGAATTTCCGGGAAAGCATAAATCATTGTAGATAATGAGTTGCGGTAAGATAATTTTCAAGAATTGGGAAAGAAAAGGAAAACCTGTTTTACACAGACCTTCAAAGTTTATCTACTTCTATAGTTAACAGTTGGACGCATTCTTAATGCAGGGAAACAGGAGTATATTCTCTGGGCCGATTTGGTATCTTCCTAACTAAATCATCCTAGTGTTACAACAAGAAAATGGACATCAGTGGGGTGTCTTGCTTAAACATCAACTTGCTCCGATATTCTACATTATCAACGATGCTAGCTTCTGTATATGATGGAGGTATCTACATAACCTCATCCATTGATCTCACTGGGAAATCAAAATCAGCATTTCTAGTATATTCACATCAAGTATCTGTCTATTAGGCTACTCTTGTTTTATTTAGAGGAGGGTCTAGCAGTGAACAAGACTTTGTGGAACTTGTTATTTCTCAGATTTTTTTGGTAAGTGCTATGGCAGTATGGCACATGGCATTATGTGCCATTTTAGGTAGAGTGGTCAGAACTTGGTTGGCTAGGACTGAGCCTGTCTTTTTAAAAATTATCCTGAGCATGTTTTCCTTCTTTGGTCTGTGGGAGAAAAGTACATTACTGATAATAAGCATTCAGTAATATAAGAGGATGCAATTTTTTCCCTTTTTTTCTAGTGATAACTCTTCCTCTGGTAGCAGCTTATTTAAAACTCAGTGTGTTCCTTACTCACCTAAACCGAGGCAAAGAAACTTGATTAGAAAATTTGTTCATTCAGCTGAAAATGTTCAAGCAAGAGATTCATCTAGTGACTCATCTTTTGAACCAAAACCATTGACTTTAAAAGCTATTTTTGAAAGATTCAAACAAAAAAAAAGGAAACGTAAAAAGAGGAAATATAAGCCAACAGGAAGACCAAGGGGAAGACCAAAAGGAAGGAGAAACACTAGAAGCTCACAAATAAAAAGGAAACATATAAAAAACAAAGGACATGGATTCCCATTTTTAGAATCAAAGAATGGAAGAAAACCATTACCTTGGAGAAAAATTTTAACCTTTGAGGTGAGTCAGTATTTTATATTTGCTGATACATATAGCTAAAATGTCTGCAATGAATTGTTGGTCCCTTTCAGAATTTAGGTGTACCTGGAACATAGTCTGCAACTGTGATAATACTCTTCCATACTGACTTAACACTTCAAGACCATCCCATCCTTCACCTCAAACTTCACTTGGGCTTCTGGGTGGAATCTTCACTGGTATATTCAGTGACTGTGCCTATATATGAAGTGCTCTGAGGCTGTTTCTATAAAATCCCTTGATTTCATCCTATCAGGTCTTGAAACATCCTCCCTACAACTCAAATGATTCCCAATTGTTTTATGGTAACCTAAGTCAAACCCACACCTGCCTTTCGTGTTAAGTGGCTTTAAAATAGATTTTATTTTCTTACAGATATTGAATATTCAATTTCTGACAGAATTGCCTGATAAATACTTTAATGCTTATCAGTAGACTCTAAAAAATTTTAGTTAAATGTTTGCATAATTAAGTCTCTTGCTCTAAAATCTGAATTGAAAGGATTACTACTCGTTACACTTTTATGTTTTAAGGTGATAATAATAAACATTAGAAATTTGTTTTTTTGCATTTAAAAATGTGTTTAGTAATTCCCAAACAATACGAGATTTATGCTTCAGTTTTCCTTGGTACCAACTTAGGGAAGTTTGATAACTTACTAGGTAGAACAGTGAATTCTTTTTACAGCCGGCATTTAATAAATTATATGTGATCTCCATGGTGCAGAGTAGTTAAATCAAGATCACTAAGCCTTCTTACTGAGGGGATCTTTGCCATTTTGGAATATGGGCATATGCTGAGTTAGAAAATTTTATTTTGTAAGGCCATGACTTAAAATATGGTGTTTTTTTTTATATATAGCAAGCAGTAGCAAGAGGATTTTTCAACTACCTTGAAAAACTGAAGTATGAATACCACCTCAAGGAATCCTTGAGACAAATGAATGTCGGCGAAGATTTAGAAAAGGAAGACCTTGATAGTCGTAGATACAAATACTTGGATGATGATGGATCCATCTCTCCTATGGAAGAGTCAGCGTAAGTTGAAATGTGAAACAATTTTGGTCATAAGTTTTATCAAATTAAATGTTTTTAAATTTAATCTTAATGCCCCATATTATGCTTTAAGTTTGTTTATACTTTGTTTACGATTTGTTTATACTTTAATAGTGATGTGAGCACAGATACAGTATGCCATTTGGGTTAGTACAGTTGCGCTATATCATTTTGGAGTGTTAATGGATGACAACATAATTTTTCTCCTTGACTGGTATTACTGTTTCAGTTGTATATTATGACAGTATACTAATTGGGTTCTAGAAGATTTTGTCATCTGAGTGATATTTTAATATTACAGAGCAGAGGATGAGGTTGCAACAAATCTTGAACATGCTGATGAATGTGATATCAAATTGGTGGTAAGTGACATTTTTATTCCATTACATGTGGGGAGGGCAGCAGTTGGTACAGGAATTTTATCCAATAGTATCTTAGACTCGATTTTTGAAAGGCTGAATGCATTTGGTGTAGGAAATGAAAAAATAAAAATAAATTTTTTTGATAGTTGAAGAGAACATGGACTTTTCAATACTATTGTTGAATAAGTTTTAATATGTGGTATTGCTACTAGGATATCAAATGAGAAAATAAGCAGAACTTAATCTGGATTTTTAACCTCTCAATGTAGTCTCCATGTTACTTGAAATAACCTAGAGCTCAGTTATGTGTAATTACTAAAGCACTAAAGTTTTAGTTATTGCTTAATATTGATATTTTGTATGCAGGAGGATAATTATTTCATAATAAGTTCTGAATTACCAAAGAAGATGAATGTATATTTAGAACAAGAGGAATATACTGAAGAAGCTGCTTTATCTAAAAAGAAGGCGTCAAAGTCCAAAAACATTGGACAGAGGACAGAATGGCCTGAAAAGAAGATAGGTATATGAATGTCAAGGTAAACACAATTGAGAAAAAGCAACTTTTTATAGAAAGAAAAGATGATGAATATGAATATATATATATATATGCCAGCCTCACGATAACAACCTTCAAAGGAGAAAATAAAAAGAACTTTTGAAAAAACCCGTGAAAGAAACTCCTAAAGAATAAGAAGTAATTGTTAGAAAAAAACATTTTTAAAACTGAAATCATATATGTACAAGAAATTGAGGCTTTCATGGAAGAAATAATCACTTAGTAAATAATAAACAGAACATCCTACTTTTTTTGCCTATACTTGTTTATTTCAGGGTAAGAGCTTATAAGCATCATTTGAGCATTGGGTCAAAGAAGTACAGAGATTGTAATCCTAAAAAGAAAAATCTTAGTTATAATCACTACTGATTGACAGCCAACCACCCTCTTTAGGGTACCTGGAACCTTATTTTTATCCCAGTTTTATTCAGACAAGTGACCTTTCTTTAGTGTCAAATGTTTAGTACTGTAATAAGAACTTAATTTTCCCTTCCTAACTACTGGAATATTTCAACTGCCATTTTCTTGTCATCACCACTGTATTTTGTTGATTATGCCACTATATATAATTCATTTTATGATAGCACTTGTGTTTGTTTTTGTTTAACTTGTGGACAAAGACTTATAGACAAGTGCAAAAAATAAATCCTCTTTTGCAACCCAGAGCTCATTGTTCAGTATGAGTTTTGATACAGATAAGAAGGAACATACCTAAAACTGAATAAAGTGATGGGGGCTGGGGGACTGATTGACAACTAAAAAGCATAGGATAAAAGGCAAATCTTGGCTATATTGATTTAGTATTCCAATTTTAACATTGACATGAAACAAAGATGGCTTCTTTTTTTGTTAGGTTTTTATCTTGAAAACACGTCTGGACTTAAGTCTTACGCTTTAGGTGAGTTTTCAGATTGGATTTGTTTAAATGTACATTGTCAGATAATTTAAATCTCCACAGGTTTCATTATTGAAACACATTTTTGCCAACTTTTAATTTCTGTTTATGATGTGATTTCAGAAAAGGAATCTTAGGATTCACACATTTTATCATGATATTGTGCCACCTTCACTTGACATGCAGTAAAGGGTCCCAAAACTGTAAGGCTATAGCAATAATCAGAATCTTGGATATTGCTGCCACTCAAGCACATACAACATTATTTTTAATTAATGCATAATCCAACATGAGGTAGAAGATAGAATAGTGTAATGCTAGGACTCAAGATTTCATAAACTTGAATGATGTAAAGTTTAACCCAATAATTTATCTTCCAGTGATTCCCAGATAACATAGCCACATTAATATTTTTCTGTATTTTTATAATCGATACCAACTAAGAAAATATTTTATATAGTTCTTAAATTCTGAGGCAAAATTCAGCTAAAGTAAAAATTGTGCTGTAATCAATCAGTATTGAAGTTAATAAAAATCAAGACTTCAATTGGTGCATGGAAATCTTTTTCCTTTGGTTCATCTATACTAGCTAGTTGGCACTTTGCATGTTTTTATCAGTATATACACTCTGCCTTTTCTAAGCAGCATTATTAAAATCTTACCAAGTGATTGATTTATGGGATGATTTCTTTTAATTTCTTTTCAAATGGATGTTTTTACACAATTTCAAATTCATCAAAGAGTCTGGAGCAGATCACAGTTCTTTCTAATAATTGGAATCTTAGACTTTTGTTTATGTTTTTTAAAAAGTGTAAACAGTGGTTGAGGTCTATCCCGATGGGGCTTTTTCTGTAGACCTACATCGTTGGAAACGCCTCATAGAGTAATTGTGTGGTTTCCTTGACTCACAGAACTATCTGTTAGACCTGTGAGAAAGAACTACAAGACAGAGCTGTTAAAACTATGAAAGGATTTAATAGCCAAAAATTTTTTTTCTTAGGTTTTGGCATATCCCAAGATCTGTACTATTTTAGAGTGTGATAGCTTAGGTAAGTTTTCATTGGTGATAGTTAATCTTGGTACCATTATAGTTCAGATGATGAATTTTACCTGTTCAACTGCTGAATGATACAGACGTGAACTAAAACTTAATTCTGACAGAGCTGGATATATCTCTGTATAGGTGTTAGTTTTTAATCACACACTTAAGTTGTCCTAAATCTTTTATTTGGTATTTTATCTGTAGGAGTGAATATGATTTGAACGTAACTCATGTTTAGAGGTAAGTGGAGTAATTGATTTCTACTGAAAATTATTAACGATTCAAAAGGGTTGAAAAAATATAAATTATGAGTACAGCATTCCATTACTGTTGTGACTAGTAGTTATTTAGGTATAAAACAGAATTATTAAGATCTTGGCCAAAGTATTTGCCATATTATTTGTATTTATATACAGAATTGGGGAAAAAACTGGAGAGTGTATGTCTAGGGCTACCAAATGAAAATGCCTCCATTTTTGTACCCTTTTATTGAATTGACAATTCCGTATGGATCATCCTAATAACATTATACTTCAATATGTTATGATAATGGATTTTGCATTTCTTATAAAGAATTCTGCCCAATAAGAGCAACCATGATATTTATTTCTAGTGCATTCTTTCTTTTAGTGATTTGACTCAATTCTGTAAGTGTATATAAAGAGATGGGATAAAGATAATGATTACTCAGTTTATAGTTTAAAATGCAGTTAATGTAGTTCCCTCATTGAAATGACAATTAGGAATGAAGGTGAATTTATTTTACTTGTTACAGGAACTTAGGTTTTTAGAGATTTGTAAAAATAAGTTTATATTAGTTCAGTCATGATTGCACTGCATGGTATCTGCATTCAGCAGTTGATTCCTGCTGGGTGTTCAAAGGACAGTGCGATATAAATTCAGTATCTGGCATCGTTGGTTTTCTTGGCTTCATGCATGTTAAACCTGGTATTTTTATTGATACAGTATTCCTGTAGTTGCTCATACTGTTCAGTTTGACATAATCTTCAGTAGGAACTAATGCGTCTCTTTTTCTAGGTTGTCTAATATTGAGAACCAGGCAGATCCATCGACTCTGACCCTAAACATGTAAGGCTTTCTATTTCTGTTGCTTCAGGCAGCTTCTTTCCTTTATTGATAGCATGGTCAGCCGAACAGCAGAACTTCTATACAGATGCAAAAGCCTTTTGCATGGTGTATATATAAGCTTGAGAGAAACTTTCATGAAGCCTCATTCTAGATGAAAATGGGCACTGTTGTTCATGGTGTCCAGAAATTGTTAATGTGGCTATATTGAGACACAGGTTATGCTTCCATCACAGTAAGTTTATTGCAGTGGTGACAATGAGACCTGTAACATTTTTTGTTAGGCTCATGAGTAAAAATTGGATGTAAAAAGATTTTTTAATAATAGAAATGATTAAGGAGTAATATACTTTTAGATCCCTTGCCAAAATAGCAACGTGTACGCCTACAATTTAACTCCTAGGGCCCTAAAAAGTAAATTGGTTGAAGAAATTGGATCACAGAGATTACAGGTAAGATTTTAATGTATTCCCTCAAATTCTCTATTTTATAACAGACTTTAACTTCACTTCTTATTGCTGCTAATCCTGGTGGTCCTTTGTTATCACCACTTAACGAGAAAATGAAAAAAAAAAAAAACCTATAGATCTTAAAAAGGCCACCATGTGTTGTTTATAGTGCTTACTAGTGATGTATGATGTTATGATGATGGGCAAAATGTTCAACTGCTCTGAATGGGCTGAATGAAAATAGCCTTTCTGAACATACATATACATTAATTATGTGCTATACCATAGAACATGAAAGCTCTAAGGTAAAAGTTATCTGAAACATGTGTATGTTTCCAAACCTTTGGAGTTACTGATCAGAGAATACTTTTCATGTAAGTCAGGTATGAATGGAAATGGTTAATTAAGCCTTAATTTTAAAATATATTTTTTCTCAACATTTAGTTTAAATGAACTGGATTGAAAAGATGTTTATTCTATTTGCAATTTTAAGCGTGGAATTTTTAATACATACTAGTTGGAAACTGGGTTTCAAGGATACTTTGGAACCTAATCAACCTCATTTTGAAAACTGAAGTCCAATATAAACTTTAAAATCTTTCCGTAGGTCGGGAATTTTTAAAGAATGTTCATATTCAAGTGGAAATCAAAGAAGCCGAACTAAAAGAATCATGGCAAGTTACTTGTTTTTTATAGTCTTACCATACAGCACATTATTTTTCAGGGTATAATGGTCATTACCAAGGCTTTTAGAATGTAGTTTCTCATTTGCTGTGGACATGACCATAAAAAAAATTTCCCACTAGGTTTTTCTTCTGCTACCTTGCTAGCATTCAGCCTATTGGGAACATTATTAACCCTTACTGGTTTTATTTACATTGCCTAGATCAGCACTGCCCAGTATTAATAGAACACAAGCCATATGTGACTTTGTAATAATAGCCAGTGGTAATCAATGAGATTTTATAACAGCCATATTTCAAATTCTCACTGGTGGTACATGGCTAGAGCCTATTGAACAGTGCATGCCTGGATCTCTGGAGTCTTGCAACTATCCATTGCCTGGTTAAACTGAGTTGCTAGAAACCAGGCTGCTTGTAATGTAATAGAGCTAATAGGGAGGCTGGCTTCAGAATTGACATGATCATCTCTGGAAACGCAACCTTATATTTATATTCCTGTGTTATAGAACTGACTGACATGACAACCGTGGATTGAGCAAAATTTCTTTTTAAAAGGTACGTACACATTAGAAAAAGATAATTTATAGGTCATTTCAAAGAGGGCTTGTGGTACCAAAACCAGGAGCTCTTAACGCTGTGACCAAAGATTGAAGTTCTCCATAGGATATAATAGTCACTCAGTAGTGCTATGTTTTCCTGAGGAGGTACAAGATTTAGCTGCTTATAGCCATGATGGGTGATGTGGAAAAGTAAATAAAATGTCTAAAGTTTAACCAATGCCTACTCTCTTCTTTAGGGCTATCTTGAAGACTCAAAACTTTGGAGGAACTAAGGGGCAGTGGAAAGAATCACAACGTGTGAAATTACTTAAATAAAAATTTATTGACTTTAAATAATTTTGCCTATGTTACCCTATGTTACGTTAAACCCTTTACACTTTTTGTAGAAAGTCAGCATATATTTTTGGCTCGAAGTTTCTCTAGTGTTTTCTGTGGAGGGAATAGAAATAAGATTTAGCAGTTATAGTTGTGGTGTACCTTAGACATGAAAAATTGTAGGGGGCCCTACTCACCTTATGAAATTCTTTTGCCCTTGCTCTATTTTGGGCATAAGCCTCTTGCTTTGCTTTCTCTTCCTTTTGCTGTTTCACTTCAGCTAACTGATTGTATAATCTGTAAGAAATTTATATGGAATTAAAGACAAATACTTCAAAAATATGCATTACTATTCATATATACAGACACACATACATATACCTTAAAGCCCTTTGGTGCATGAGGGCTTGTGTGGCCTTTCTGTCTTCAGGAAGTGACACTCTGACTTTACTCACACCCTTTAGGTGACTCATAGATGAGCCTGAGCAGAGAACAAGTGGTTTAATAAAGAATGCCAGATTCTCTTTGTGAAAACATACAAATGTGGGGAACATACCTGTAGAAGGTTTCTCCTTAACTATTTTGCCTTGAGAATTTTCAGAGACACGGATTTTATTCTTGATTTCTTTCTGTCTCTGGGAGGATCTCGCTATAAATGATTTTTTTCGTTTTATAAATGCCTCTTGCAAGCTGCCTGGTATAGCTGTAAACTTTGGAAGGATTTCTGTTAACGAAAAAAACAAAAGCTCTTTTCATCTCAAACTTTTTTATTTTGCTAGGATTGTGGGGTTCCTACTTCCCTCCTAGAAATGTGGAGGTTGAGAACTTGAGTAGGGAAGTCCCATTGTGCCTGGGTTCAGTGACCATTTCAGATGCTCAAGGCATACCTGTAGACACTGTTGTTGGCTTCTCCACAGAATGTTCTGATGTTTCTGATAGAAGAGGCAGAAATTCACTCACCTAATTGCAAGAAAGTTAGATGAATTTAGCACTTTCACCTCATCATACAGACTTACAGCAAAGGTTCTAAACCTTGGTTCCCTTCGTGGTGGGTGGTTGAGTGACTACTCAGTCCCCAGTTGCAATACAGGGATAAATGTCCAGTTGACTCGGCTCCGATTCTCAACTAGTTCACTGATTCGTGCTGCCCTCACATCTGTCTCAGTAACTTTAGGACTGAATTTTCCGGTAAGGGAGTTTTTTAAATGGTTTTATTCCTATTAAAATGCTTTAGCTGACCAGCAGTACTAGAAAACAATTAAGCCTGCTTTCCCATCCTACTCGAGCCCAAAGCTTTTCCTCACCTGATTTTGGTAATTACCAAATCTTTCTTCAATACCACCTCTATTGTATTTTCACTACTTGTCTATTTGTGTCCTCACTACCCTGTGAGTGATCATAAAACAAACAATTAGTAGTTGTAGCGTGGAGCCATTTCTAAATGTGTTGGAATATTCTTACGTGAATTCCCTTCTAATGGCATCAGGCCACAAAAAAAATTGGTTCTGCCATAGTATTGTGTAGCACAGTGTACAAATGTACTATCTGGGACTTATCTGCAAAATTGTGTTGTGGGGATTAAAGACAATGCACAATAGTGTTTGAGAAAAAACAGATTGTAAATAAAACAGCTGGTGAGGGTGACTTGCATTTTCTCTAAGTTTCAATTTCAGTTTTATTAAATGAATTCATCTATTAATCTAAAGTCCTTACTAAATTAGAATTACATCCACGGCAGAATTCCCTTCAATGATAACCTTCTAAGATTTTAAATGGTGAGCCAGGCAAGAATAGTCTGTAGTGGAAAAAAGTATAATGAACGTGCAGCAACTTAAGCACTGCAAGTGCAAAATACACTTCCAAAGCAATACCACTTACTCTGTCTCCACCTCAGGTCTGGATTTCCTTACCTAGCTTTAGAGCACCTCTGCTGCCTCTCATGTAACTTGTATGGAATCAAGTATTTCTTTCATTGGGGAATGGAAGGCATGAGTTCCAACCCAAGTCTTAATGAAATTGAGAGCATCATAAATACATGTATTTAGGACTGACTACTACAGGGTACAAGACAATGCCATCAGGGGGGTTTGAGAGGCTTTCCCTGTCAGCCATCAGTTTCTGCTATGAGCACATTAAGCTCCTGTTCACTTTGTAGTTTACTGTACTGGCATCTAATATGGGGAAGGAAATTAGTTTGCAAACAATTCTAATGTAAGGAAAAAAATGCCATGTGGAAAGATAAGTGAAAAAACCAATATCCTTTTCTGTTTGCTAATTCTCAGCTATGGGTTGTACAAAATTTACCTGAAAACAGGTTTTTGCCTTATTCTCTCTCTCGTCTTCTAGGGTTAAGTTTGCAAAATCCACTTCAGCAATACTGATATCGCTGGTGCTTACTAATGTAAGTTCTGGTTCTTCCATTATACCATGGCCAGACTCTGTCTCCTGTGTAGTCAAATTAAAAAGGAAACCATGTCCAAAAATCATAGCCTTAAAACACAATGTGAACATAATGTACATTATGGAGGAAGAACAACAATGGCTAGTGAAGACCAAGGTGGTGCCTCCCCCATCCCCAACCCACTTTTAGAAATACTGGAGAGGACTTTGAGGATTGGTGAAATAATGTGATGATTGTCTGAAAATATCTACTGCAAAGATGACAAACCCAAATGCTTATAGAGGCTAGATAGCCTTTTGGGCTGCAGCCAAATGTAGGCCACTGCTGCCAGACTACGTTTTTTTTTTTTTCTTCTGAGGAAGATCGGCCCTGAGCTAACATCTGCCAATCCTCTTTTTGCTGAGGAAGACTGGCCCTGGGCTAACATCCGTGCCCATCTTCCTCTACTTTGTGGGATGCTGCCACAGCATGGCCTGACAAGTGGTGCGTTGGTGTGCGCCCGGGATCCAAACTGGCGAACCCTGGGCCACCACGGCGGAGCGTGTAGACTTAACCGCTTGTGCCACCGGGCCAGCTCCCAGACTACATTTTTTAAGGGAAATATCTTTAGTTTTAAATACCGAACAAGAATTTACAAAAAAATCTAAAAGCAGCCAAATACAACACATCTGTGGTCTAGATGTCCCTTATGTCAATCTCTGTTATATGCTTAGCTGTAGAAGCACAAACAATACTAGAAGGTAAAGACCATATTCAGGCGCCTGAAGTTGAAACCAAGCAGATTGGGGCTGGCCTGGTGGCCTAGCGGTTAAGTGCGTGCGCTCCGCTGCAGTGGCCGGGGTTCGCAGGTTCAGATCCCAGGTGTGCACTGACACACTGCTTGACAACCCATGCTGTGGCGGCGTCCCGTATAAAGTAGAGGAAGATGGGCACGGCTGTTAGCCCAGGGCCAATCTTACTCAGCAAAAAGGAGGATTGGCAATGAATGTTAGCTCAGGGCTAATCTTCACAAAAAAGAAACCAAGCAGATTAATCCAATGCAGTGAAATGAGGTTCAACAGTGAAAGTGCTGAAGCACAGGCTGAGCCACCACTCCTCAGGGGAGCTGGAGAAGGGAAATGTGAGGAAAGCTCTTTTGTAAAATTCAGAGGTCAGCTTAACATTTGGAGCTTTCTCAGTTCATTGGAGATTTCCAATGATTACGAGATTGACTATCTCAGGAATATTAACAAGTAGCTTTGTTGCTTCCCTTGAATTTTGTTTCAAAAGTCTTTACTGAAAATGAATTTACATGCTATTTATACAACACAGATTTCACTTACCCAGACTGGAATAGAGCTCTGTAACGAAAATGATCCAGAATTTACAGAGAACTCTGACTGTGCTAGTTGAGATAGGTTTCTGATGGTTTTTGGAGTTTCTGCTTTAGTTGAATTCTCAAAATATTTTTCATTCTGAACAGTTAATGAATACGGTGTCTGAACTGAAGTTCCCATCTCCACTGTTCTTACACATAATTGAGAGTCAAGTTTCTCTACATGTGGATTTATATTTAAAACCCCACAGGTTTCATTTTTATCATCTTCAGTGAGTCCTTGACTTTGTAAGATTTTATCAATCCCTCTTTTTGCTACTTCTTCAAAGCCCCGTCTTTCTTCTCTGCCTTCTAGTTGGTCTTTTATTGAGCACTCACTAGAGGTAGAACCACATGGAGTGCTATGCTGTAGATTTAACTGATGAAATACATTAGCTTCAGCAGATGAACTGAAGACTGAACTTTGCAAATTTCCTACAGAGAGCTGGAAATGAACACCTTTTTTCTTATTTTGTAATATTTCAGTCTGTTCAGAAGAGCAGTTCTGATTTTCCATGACTTGGGAAGAATCTCTTGGTTCAATGCTAAAAATACTTGGTAGATCAGCATGCTGGCTCCCCTCCTGTGAAGAAAATTCTGGCAGAAGCTGTTGAAAAGACTGTTCAGATCCTGTAAGACATCAGTTCATTATAATTATATGTTGTAAAACTTGGATACAGATACAGTCTAATACTTTATGAGTAAGCTGCCAAAAATAGGTTACTTCCTACAATTTCAGGAGTGAAAGAAGATGTATGTAAACACAAATAGAAAGCTAAAGGATGGATGGTCATAGTGATTTTCAAATAACTCTACTGCTCAAGCTACGTATTTCCTCCTAATATTATTTAATAAAGAAAACATGGCTATTAGACATGATGAGGACTTTTACCCCATAAGAGAACAGAATATTGATTTTAATAACAAAAAGACTTAGACTAAACCCTGCATGTATATCTCATAGGTATATATGTATAGGTGTGTATGTATGCATATATACACACCTATATATATAAAATTTGTACAAGAAGTTTGAGAACAATGCTTAAACTGTTAACTGTAAGGGTTGAGGTAGGGAAGTTGAGCAAGAGGCAGCACTTTTGCTTTTTATCAAGTTCAGTACTCTAAAAATGCAAACTGAGCATGTCTTACTTCTGTTACTTAAATAAATACACAATTAAAGAAAGAGAAGTACTAACACTGGGGACGGGTGACGACAGGAGTGGAGACCAATCAAGAGCTGCTAAGCACAATTTCCAAGGAAAATGGATGTAAACAACCATGAAAAAGTACTGTGTTTTATTTAACTTTTTTTTACTTAATCATACATACCCTCAATAATATTTTCTGTAGCAAAACTCGGAGCTGCAGCAAGAGCCAAGTTAGGGTCAGGTTGCTGGTTCAGGCTTGTGTTAAGAGAAGAATGCAGGCTGGTCCTCCTCAGTGCTGTAAAAGAGTCTGTACTTTTGGATGATAAAGTAGCACGGGGGCTTCCACATGAAGAATCTGAGCTCTAATGGAAAACAGCAGAAAAAGGCTGAAATATTGATTATGTATTACCATTTCAATCGATAATCATTATGTTCCTTTGAGATTACTCTTCCTTAATTACCACTTGACTATCACACTAGTAATTTGCTTATTCAAACCCAATTTTTCCATTTTGGTTAATATGAAAATGACTTTTAAAAAAGATTACTTAGAAAACAAATTGTGAATTAACCAGATAGAGTGTAGAACACAATGAGATCATTTTCTGATAAGCAGGAACTATGCAGAGCAGCCTGGAATATCAGGATGTCAGGCTGTGGGAGCAGAAAGCCCCAGGTTTGAGTCTTAGCTACTTTACTGCATAGCAAGAGATGTTTTAAATTTTGCAAAATTCTATTTACCTGAACTGTTTAAGGCTGAATTCCATTAAAGTAAGAAAACAAACAAAAATACTAAAAACTAACAATAAAAATATTCTCCAGGGGCCGGCCCAGTGGCGCAAGCGGTTAGGTGCGCGCTCTCCACTGCAGCAGCCCAGGCATGCGCTGATGCACCGCTTGTTGGGCCATGCTGTGGCAGCGTCCCATATAAAAAAGTAGAGGAAGATGGGCACGGATGTTAGCCCAGGGTCAGTCTTCCTCAGCAAAAAAGAGGAGGACTGGCATCAGATGTTGGCTCAGGGCTGGTCTTCCTCACAAAACAAAAACAAAAACAAAACAAAAAAATATTCTCCAGACTTTTATGGGTCATACTCACTAGCTGGAGATAACGCTGATAGGACAAAATTCTAATACAGCTGTTTTTAATCTTGGGTCCACACTGGAATCACTTGGGGAATTTAAAAAAAATTGGTGATATCTGAGCACTCCTAGAGATTCTGATTTAATTGGTCTGGGGTGTAGTCTGGGCACTGGCATCTTTAAAACCTTCCACGTGATGCTAATTGGCAGCCACGGAAAAAAACCATTGTTCTGTTCTAACAGAAGAAAAGAAAAACTGTTCTTGGAAATTCACTGCAATGAAGCATCTACTTTAATATACCTGGTAAAAGAGTCTGCTGTCTTGAGAAATTCCAGAGGATGATGATGACAAATCATAATCTGGATGTGGTTCTAAGGGTTTAAACAGCTGATGATGCAAATTTGGAAAAGTGTATTCCAATTCTGGAAAGTCAAGGTCAACTGTTGGAATTTTGAGGAAAAAAAGATAAATTTATTTAAAAAATAAAGCCTAGATTAGTACTAAGAACATATTTATAAAAGTTTATTTTTAGGAAATTCTAATTCAACAAAATTACTTCCATTTTTTTCATTACCTGCAGATGCTTTAAAATTAAGTCCTATCATTATTTCCGATGTGCAAAAAAAATGGGGATACTCTCAATGACCAAAACTTTTCACAAATATGTTTCCATTTCTACCAGGCGCAAAGTCTTATGAGATTAATTAGGAGTAAGGGGCCATTATGATCACTGCTTTGCTATAAGCTTTGTTATTCTCACTTAGCTCATTTTAGGATCAATGATTTAAAAAAAGAAAAAAGCTGGGGCTGCCCCGGTGGCTTAGCAGTTAAGTGCGAGTGCTCCGCTGTGGTGGCCCGGGGTTCACAGGTTCGGATCCTGGGTGTGCACTGACGCACCGCTTGTCAAGTCATTCTCTGGCGGCATCCAATATAAAGTGGAGGAAGATGGGCACAGATATTAGCCCAGGGCCAATCTTCCTCAGCAAAAAAAGGAGGATTGGCATCAGATGTTAGCTCAGGGCTGATCTTCCTCACAAAAAAAAAAAAAGAAAAGAAAAGAGCTCACTGAGTGTTAGTATGGGCCAGACGTTGTACTTTATGTGCATTATCTCATTTAACCTCCAACATCCCTCTTGTATAGAAGATGAAAGAGTAAGTAACTTGCCTATGGTCTCACACCTAGTAAACTGTCAAACTGGGACTCAAATCGAGGTCTGTCTGATTTCTGAGCTTTTGTTCTCAATATTGGCAATAGTGCCTCAAGCTTTTATAAACTTTGCAACAGTAAAAGAAGTTATGCTATTCTCTTCTACATGTTCTTTCATCAGTTTCCGATCCCCTCTCTCACTAAACGCGCTCAATGTTTTCCATATCATAACTGCTGCAACAGGCCATAAAAACATGAAGCTCAATCATTACTTAAAACTAAAAAGTTAAAGCTAAAAATAGTTTATATGAAAGTATTTGTTCAAAATAATTTTACTCGGTAAGTCTGTTTTTTCTGTCATCAAATTTGCTTCATTTATGTACTTGTCCATCATCTGCTGAATGTGCATTTGACCAGATGTAAATTTTTCCACTGCAGGAAAAGAGGTTTATTAACGTCCCAAGGGTCCTGTCTTTGATAAATAACTTGTGAGGAAGGAACTATAGAACTTAAAATATTTGTTTCCTCTTCCTTACTGGTGACATTCTCGTTCCCTCTGGTCCACATGCTCTGAAAATGACTCTGAAAATTCAGTTTAATGAAAATATTTAATGGCTGGTTAGAGACAAATTTTGGTAGAGAGGCATAGCAATATACATTGGTAAGGAATCAGTGCAACCAAGAAATTTGCTCAGATAGATTCCCACTGAATGGGAAATGTGCCATTAGTGCATACTTCTCAAAGTGTTGTTGGGGATCCACAGAACATCCTGTGGGTCTGCAGGCCTGTGACTTCCAATCATGTTTATTTATTTATTTATTTATTTATTTTGTGAGGAAGATCAGCCCTGAGCTAACATCTATTGCCAATCCTCCTCCTTTTCCCTTTTTTCCCCCCAAAGCCCCAGTAGATAGTTGTATGTCATAGCTGCACATCCTTCTAGTTGCTGTATGTGGGATGCGGCCTCAGCATGGCCGGAGAAGCGGTGCGTCAGTGCGCGCCCGGGATCCGAACCCGGGCCGCCAGTAGCAGAGCGCACGCACTTAACTGCTAAGCCACGGGGCTGGCCCTCCAATCATGTTTAGAACATCATACTGTCCAATATTCTATCAGGCATGAATACTTTACTTTTGAGATTTAAAGAAACAATCCCACTCAGCACACTGTGAAAAGCAATGTTTGCTCTCACCACTGTATTGCAACTCAACTAGTGCTGGTCTTTCAGTTTATTTATAAACATTTTGATGTTACTACCTGGATTGTTAAGGCTCAAATCTGTGTTTTCATTACTTGACAAGCTCCCAGTAGAAATAGTTATTGAAGATAATGGCTCATGATAAATCTCTTGTGTTTCAGCCTAAAAATTAACAAGAACATTAGACCACAATGTAGAAAGTAATATCTAGAAAAAACCCAAATCACCAACATAAGCAGTTATCAATTCTGAGCTCAGATCAAGTGTAGAAACCTTCATAGTTATAAAGATCAGTGGTAAAACCTTTTGTCATCATTGCTCAGAACTGATTAGCCTTTAATACACACATATCCCCACCACCAGTCTCATTCATCCATCAACAAGTCCTCAGTTATCCACTGTCACCTTTATAAACACACACACACAAACACACACACACACACACACACACAGACATACACACAAACAGACATAAGCCCTTATTGTTTTAAATTACTCTATACTTTTGCTTCTCAGAACTACAGAGATCATGCATCAGGTAGACTGGAAGGTCCTCTGATGCTCAGATTTGGCTATTTTCATCATTGATCCACTTCAGTAAGAGCAGATCTCAGAGAACACAGACTTTAATATTTCACAACTTTTATAAGCTAAACAGAAGACAATGCGAAGCCAAATAGCTCTAACAATGTAGGACACATTAAGACATTACTAACCTTATTATCTGGCTTCACAGTTGGACCCAGATATGTATGTTGTTCTTCCTCCATAGCATAGCTTAATACTGCATGATTCTCAAGCACAGCCTCCTTGACCTTGACTGAAATGGGGGGGAAAGGGTTCGGATTATGGCATATCAATTTCTTAGCACCAGAGGGCATCATTTCCTGCTTTCCTACAATTTTCTTTCATATTGTGCTTCGTAGAGTTGCCTTATCTCAGACCAAAAAGAAAAGAAAAAATTCATTTTATTATTCATTAAAAATATTTACTAGTCAGCACAATATACTTTTTCCTAGAAAACTGTAGTTGTCATTGTTCTATGAATAAAAACCTTTAGAAAAGAGCTAACGTGATGGGAAATGCTTTTGTCATTATTTTAAGTGAAGAGGCAAGAATATTTTATCATAAATACAGTATGATCTCAAAGTTCAGATAAATGCAAATAAAAAAGACAAGAAAGGAAAATACCAAAGTGCAGTCAGTAGATAATTATGAATGGTAGGACAAGGAGGAATTTTACTTCTTAACTTTTAGTCCTTTCTAAAATCATGAGCATGTGCTGCTTTTATTATGAATTATCATTCCTATTCAATTTGACATATTATAAATATATACAAATTATACTCTCTGTTTCACTGTTAATAATTAAGGTGTTCTGAGTTCATTTTTCTCTTACTCCCAATAGCCAACATTTGTGAGAAAGCTGGCCAAAGCATATGGTCATCTGTGGCTCTGAAACAGAATAAAATTAAAACTGTTCCACCAAATACAAACTAAAAATTTGTCTCATTATCCATATTATTAAAAGATACCATGCATATTAAAAGTATGTTTCTTAAATGTCTGTGTAAGAAATATTTCCTAAAAGGTAACCCAGGACACACACACATATCTATACACACACAAGTAATATTATACATATATCTGTATATGTTTGTGTGTGTATATATATATTTATTCGTAAAATAATATCTATGTTATGGATAATGAAGTAGAAACAAAGCTTACACTAAATATTATATTTAAATATAATTTGTTATTAAATACAATTTTTTACTCTCTCTTAGTTCACTTAAAAATATATTATTGTGACATAATTGATGTAACCATTAAACTGTTATTTGGTTGCTTTTATCCACACTAAAATTTTAGGTAAAGAAAATAAGAGATGGTGAAATTTTATAGTGAGTTATTTTTTCTTAAGCAGCTCATTTCAAAAGCTAGTTGGGGGATGAGAAGTTAATCTGGGGTTTTTCAATTCATAATCACAATTCCATACTGTTACCTATAATACACCAAGAAGAACAGGGTAGCATTTGAGTAGTAGTAAGAAGTGAAAAATAAAAATGAGAGAAAGGAGCAAAGTCAGGGTTATTTAAGATGTTAAAGAATTCAATGGCTAGGTCCCTGAAAGTGTGGGAAAAGAAGTGTTATTTGCTTGGAAATGGCTCTCTGATAATAGGGACCCACGAGGAGCTTCCTAAAAGGAGGAAGTAACATCATGAAAGCAATGCCTTTCAGATGACAGAGTTATCTTCCCATGCCACGTCGGAAGGCACCGTTTCCTATTTCCTACAAAAGCAAAGGGTACAGGGCTTGAAGTTAGTGATACCACCTAAAAAGCTATTAAGAGATCAAGGTGACGTGATGAGGACCTGAATAAAGTGGTAGGGAGGGAACAGAGCAGAGTAACAAAACTAAGACCCTCCCTTCTAAGATAGAAACAACATGAATCTGGGATGATGATGAGAAAGAGAAAAGCAGCCCCCGAGAGCCAGGAGCTGACCAGGCACTATCAGCTAGGCCTAGGTGTTCTCCTAAGCATTAACAATTTCACAGAATACCAATATCAGAAGAGGCCACTCTATGACTATGATGGATCAAGACAAAAATCAGACCACCCATACTCATCTCTGAACACAAACAAAACCATGAATACTGTCCAAACAACCAAGCATCTCCTCATCCTGGCTAATATGAGTGACCGCTGCTGCTTTGCCATTACAGCTTTAGTTAGCCTCGCTCCATTATTCCTACCTCCTAGATAAGAATTTTTTTAGATACCCAGTAATAGAATTACCCCTGCTTCCTGATAACGTCCAATACTAATAAGCGAAGCCCCGTTTCCTTGAATCTTCCCCAAGTTACCTAACACAAACCCAAACCTTATAGTAAGTCCTCTCTAATACCCTCTTCTGAGACACCTCGTGTTCCCCATGGTGTGCATTTCCCCTCACTGCAAGATGTCAAAGCACCCAGCTTTGTTCAACCACAGGTGTGCTCCTGGTACTCTCTGACTAGAGGACATCAACAGGTAGAATAAAAAGGAAATATAAATATCCATTGGTTAAATCTAAGAGAATGATGTTTTATTTTAAAACGCCAAAAACTGTAATTCACTGGAAATTATATCCTTTGCAGTTATTTCAATCTCCAATTAAAAAAGGAGATGCTCAAGTTAATCTTTCTATAAACTCTCAAAAAGAGAACAGGTCTCTCTCATCTCTCATTCTATTAAACTATAGACACAAGTAAGATAAAATTATCCAAGTATATATGACAGCAAAAATAAAAAGAACTCTGGTTAGAAAAGGTTAGTATTTAAAAGGTGCTTTAGAACTAATGAAGCAGTACTAGAACCATGCTTTGTAGGGTCAGGAAGCAATATTACACCTATAAAACAGCTTGTTATATATATGCATAAATTTCAAAGCAAGAAAATTAACACAGGTTGTCTTTGGGTAGCAGAATTAAGTGATTTCAAGTTTTTTCCTTGTAATTCTCTTTATTTTTCAAATATTTTTGTGTGTGTGTGAGGAAGATCAGCCCTGAGCTAACATCCATGCTAATCTTCCTCTTTTTGCTGAGGAAGACAGGCTCTGAGCTAACATCTATTGCCAATCCTCCTCCTTTTTTTTTTTCCCCCAAAGCCCCAGTAGATAGTTGTATGTTATAGTTGCACATCCTTCTAGTTGCTGTATGTGGGATGCGGCCTCAGCATGGCCGGAGAAGCGGTGTGTCAGTGCCTGCCCGGGATCCGAACCCGGGCCACCAGTAGCGGAGCGTGCGCACGTAACCGCTAAGCCATGGGGCTGGCCCAATTTTTCAAATATTTAAAAGCAAACATAAAGCAGCTCGTTTAGAGTGCCAGAGAGGGAATTTTTAAGGGCCGGCCCCATGGCTTGGTGGTTGAGTGCGCGCGCTTTGCTACTGGTGGCCCAGGTTCGGATCCCGGGTGCGCACCGACGCACTGCTTGTCAGGCCACGCTGAGGTGGCATCCCACATACAGCAACTACAAGGATGTGCAGCTATGACATACAACTGTCTACTGGGGCTTTGGGGAGAAAAAGGGAAAAAAAGGAGGAGGATTGGCATGGATGTTAGCTCAGTGCTGATCTTCCTCAAAAAAAAAAAAAAAGAATTTTTTAAAGGTAGTATTTAATAAATGTGGATTGGTATGAATCAGCTTAAAGACAAAATTTGTAAAGGTTGCCAAATGTAAAAACCTCATACCCTCATATACTTCCTACCAGCATTTATTTAGTAAAACAATTTAAAAGTGAAATTAATTATTCTCTAAATAAACCTCGTTTCTCTCATTTAACATTTTGTATACAGAAATAATACATGCTTCTTGTTAAAAAAAAAAAAACAAAAGAAACAACTACAGTACGTGAACTTATAAAATAGAAAATGAAACCCAGTCTCTAACAAAGGTAAACCTGTACCAACACTTTGGTGATTATCATTCCAGACAATTTTCACTGCATGAACACAAATTCCCCTCCCCCTCATTTAATAGCTACACAGAACTGCATAGTATGGGTGCACCATAATGATTCCACTACCAACAGTCATTGAAGTTATTTACCATTATTCATCAAAAATAAAACTACAAAAAGTATCTTTTGTCCATATACCCTTGTGCACAGCAATTCCACCTTCAATTTCTTTATCTCTCACCTGCTTCATCAGAGTCATCACCACAGATGTTCTCCTGGGCAATCGGGTGAACGTGACCAAACGGATCACTGTCCAGTGGGTTCCCAAGGAAACTTTGTTCCCGGCTAATTGAGACCCTCAAGGGGTCTCTGTCTTGATAAAATTCTGGTTTACCTGGGAGGAAAAAAAAGTTGACTCATTAGATTTCCACTTAAGTTTCTAGAGCTAGCTAAAACTAACATGGCAATTTAGATTATGGGTAAAAATGTAAACTCTCCAAGACCTGATCTATGTACCAAGAAAATAATAACTGCTTATCTTTCACACAGGCCTTTTAATGATACTCCTACTTCCTAATACTAGATAATGCTTCAGTATTGACTAATCACAGTAAAAATGCCTGGAGAATTCACTAACCATTAATAGTATTATAAGGAATAATATGTATTCATAACATAAAGTTCAAGAATAGCCACAGCTAATCTGTGGTATAAGAAATCAAGACAGGAGTTACCCTGGGGAGAACTGAGGGGTCAGTAATCGGAAGGGTATGAAGGAAGGGTTTATGGGGTTTTCTAACACTCCAGTACTTGACCAGGGTGGTGTTCACATGGGGCTGGTTTTTACAGTGATAATCACCGAAATAAACACTTATTATTTGTGCACTTCTCTGAATGTGATACTTTGACACAAAAATAAAAACAAGCAAGCAAATAAATGAGTGGGAGATACCCAATAATAGAAGCTAATTTACTATGTAGGACTCCAGAAAAACTTGTGAATTAAAGGCACCAAGTATTACAAAAGGAAGGTGTGTGTCAGGGAACTGAAAACAGGGAGAATGCTTAAAAATATGTACTTGGAACAGATCCCTCCCATCTCCTGACTTCCCTGTCCCTCAACATCATCCTCAGAGGAGACTGAAGGTTTATTCTTTGGGGAAATCGAACCCAATACACTCTGAACTCAGGGGTATCAGGCACTGAAAGGTGCAAGGATGGAAGGAAGAGATAGAATGCCATAAGGAAATCAGGGGTATTAAAAGAAAATCTGCATCCTCAACTCAGATCCCCCAGGTCTGGCTCCATAACAGCAACAGCCAGGCTTGTATCAAGCTTGGAGGATCTTTCTTTGAAGACACTGAACTATAAACTGTAAAAGAACTACAGATCCTAAGATGAGGGCCCCCAGTGAAAAGCCACCTTTCCCAAGGAAGTTCAGCAGTAAATAAGGCCCCCACCCAGAGAATTTCCATTTAGTTGTTTAGTGTCCCACTCCAATATGCAAGATATTAGAGAAAACCTTCTAAAATATCAGACAGTAACAAGAAAAAAAGGAACAAAAGAACTCAAACAGAAAAAACAGGAACTCAAAGAAAAAAATAAAAAAACTATAAATATTTGAAGCAGGTAATATTTTGCATCTATGAAACAACAGAAGGATGCTATGAAAAAGGAAAAAAAATCAGGAAAAAGAGCAAACTTTTAGAAACTACAATTTGATAGACAAAATAAAAATTCATAAGAAAAGAAGAAAAAGTTGAGGAAATTCTCCCAGAAAGTAAAACCAAAAGAAAAAGAAATGAACTATAGAGAACAAAAGAAAACTGGAGGATCAACATAGATCATTGTTTCTCAATGTTACTTTATCATCACTCACCTAAGGAGCCTATTTAGACATTTTTTTCTCTAATTGCCTCCTAATTTCATGAAATTCTAATAACTATATATATACTGCATATCTATGCTTTGGTACATAAAACGAGTCAGACTTTTTCACCTCCCCAAGAGCCACTTTTTGTTTCTTTTGGTGGCAATAACACCCTTACTAAGAATGCAGCAGATAGGTCATCCAACCTCCAACTAAAAGGTGTTCCAAAAACAGAGAAAATGGTGTGATCTCAAATTATATTAGAGGTATTTAATAGAAGTATTAGTGTTACAAGACAGACATTCAACAGAAACTTAAGCAAACGATAAAAAGGAGACAATTTACTATAGGAAAAGTTTTACAAAAAGGAAATGTAATCTTAGTATACTAATTATCTCAGCAGTGAAAAGTATTTATACATCAGCATGATGATAACTTAGCTTAATTTTTGCTAAAACCCATTGCCAACTATAGACATAAATACAAGAAGAAACATTTAAAAGATTTGAAAAATGACTTGAAAAGCCTCTAGTGAGTGGGATCAAGGGATAAGAGATGGGTAGAGGCAGGAAGAAATGCTGTTTCCTGTTATAACTCTTTAGCACTATTTGCCTTTTTAAACTATTTGCCTGTAATATTTGGATTAAAAGTATGATCCAAAGAAGTGTGAGAAAAGCTGTGATGAAAGCTCCCAAAGAGCAGAGGAGAGGGAGACTTGGTAGCTCAGGAAGTCTACTGGACAAGTGGCACTTAAGCCAACCCTGAAGGGAGGAGCAAGATCACTTAATGTAGACTTGTTCCTCAAATCAAAGGGAAACCACTGAAGAGTTTTCAACAGGGAGAAAGAGGGCGATTACTCTGAATATACCATGGGGAATGAATTAGAGTGAAGCTACACTGAAAACAGGAGACACTGGGAGTTGCAGCACCCACTCAAGAAAGAAATGACAGCCTGAATTAAATGAGGGGTCAGATTCCAGAGCTGACCAAGTAGCACTGAGAAGAACTGGTGATTTATTGGGAGTCAGAGAGGTATAGACAAGGGAAATGTCAAGACTTACATATGGTACTATACACTGAAAAAAGAAGGCTGAAGGATAAAGAGGTGGAGGTGAGGGAATATATAACTTTCCCTTCGAGACAAGATGACATTTTGCAATCTCAAACATGACTCATTAAATTACAGGAATCAATGGTGAGAATTTCCCAATGCTCATTCTGAATTAGGGAAAGCACCAATTAATTCCTGAATAGCTGTAGTTGGCCAAATATTGCAAAATAGGAGAAACGCTTCCAAAGCCTTAGTAATAAATAAAATCATTACTCTATGCTATAAGTTCCATAAGACATAATAAGAAAGCAGAAAGGGGACTGATTCATAAGAGTTACTCTGAATCTCTACCTTCCTTAATTCTTTCAGTCAGAAATAAAGGTATGATAGTTTATGGCTGAAGATCAAAATAGCTAATATTAACATTACACTTGTATGTACCTTTCTATTGACAAAGCTAATCTTCCACCTTAAAAAGGATTTGCTTTGGGCCCAGCCCTGTGGCTGAGCAGTTAAAGTTCTGCACGCTCCACTTCAGCGGCCTGGGTTCACAGGTTTGAATCCTCGGCGCGGACCTACTCCACTCACCAGTCATGCTGTGGTGCCGACCCACATACAAAATAGAGGAAGACTGGCACAGATGTTAGCTCAGAGCTAATCTTCCTCAAGCAAAAAAAGGGGAGGATTGGCAACGGAAATTAGCTCAGGGCGAATCTTCCTCAGCCAAAAAAAAAAAAAAGGATTTGCTTTGATAAATTTGATCAAGAAAATTATTTGGTAAGTCTGGAATCTAAAAATAATTATGCAATTCAAGTAGGGCTATTTACTAAGGATCGCAGTCAGAAAAGTTTCTACATAATTTGATCTAGGAAGAAGTATAGTGAAGAAATACATCTAATTGTCCTTAAAGCCAGGATTTTAAGCATAATAATTATCCCATAAAAGATACAGGAAAAGAGCAGTGAAGGTACTGAAGTAGAAAAGCAGCAAGGGAAAAGAAAAAAACTGAGTTATATCCTAAAGACATAGGATTAGAAGGCAGACATGGGGCCGGCCCCGTGGCATAGCGGTTAAGTGCGCGCGCTCCGCTACTGGCGGCCCAGGTTCGGATCCCGGGCACGCACCGATGCACCACTTCTCTGGCCATGCTGAGGCCGCATCCCACATACAGCAACTAGAAGGATGTGCAGCTATGACATACAACTATCTACTGGGGTTTTGGAGGAAAAAAAAAAAAAAAAAAAAAGGCAGACATGACAAGAAGCAGAGGGAAGCAAGAGTGTCAGAATATGGAATATTGAAGAATTTTTGTCTACAGTAAATTGGTTCCCCCATATACAAGAAGAAACTAGTTACCTAATGCCACATCTCTTTAAGTCTAAATTTTAAATACTGTTTCTGTAAACTATTTTATTCCTTTCACCAGTACACAGAGCCTAGGTTTCTTCAACAAAAAGAATTTAGCATCCTGAAAAAAATGTAGAAAACTGGCAGAGTATCAAAAAATCCTATTTTATCAAACCATCTGTTTACCTAGTATAGAAGTTCTTGCACTTGCTGGTGATTCTACCTCTTGTATAGCACTAAGTTCATGCTGGTTCAAGTCCAGTCCACATTTAACTTTTGCTACAGGTGGCTTTGAGGATCTCCTACCCAGTTCCTTGTCCAGATGCTCACCTATCAAGTCAATGACAAAGTTAGGCACAATACAAATCTATTAACATACTACGAACTTTTCTTCAACCAGTAAGTTGCAGAAGTGAAAGCAAAGAATAACGAGCAGAATAATTACAATAAAAAGCAATTATCTTACCACTTTGCTTGGTACTATCATCTTCTGAAAGCAGCTGATTATCATCAGAGTTGCTCTTATCTGCAGGACTAATGTTTTCCTGATCATCTCTTGCTAGGTCATGGAGATGAGGGAGCCACTCTCTGAGCTTCCCGGTTTTTAAATCATTTTCAACTGTGGGCTTACTTGTCTGAAACAGTGGATAGGTGAGGGTGGGGATGACACAGGATGAGGGATCATATGAAGAATTCATTAGATTTATACCTCCCTCTTAAATTAGAACCCTAACCAAATAAATACTTCCATTAACCACACTATTACAACTTTATCCATAGATAAAAAATGAAAAGAGCCAGCTCTGGTGGTCTAGTGGTTAAGATTTGGCACTCTCACCACCATGGCCCAGGTTTGTTTCCCAGTCGGGAACCACTCGACCCATCTGAGGGTTGCTACACTGTGGCTGCTGCATGTTGCTGTGATGCTGAAAGCTACGCCACTGGTATTTCAAATACCAGCAGGGTCACCCACAGCAGACAGGTTTCAGCGGAGCTTCCAGACTGAGTAGGAAGAAGGACCTGGCCACCCACTTCTGAAAAAGTTAGCCATGAAACCTTACGCATAGCAGTGGAGCACTGTCTGATAAAGCATCAGAAGATGAGAGGATGGCGCAACAAGACCAGGCAGGGTTCTGCTCTGCTGTACACAGAGCTGCTAGGAATCGACTCAATGGCACTAACAGAAAAATGAGAAATGCTTCTAATACTGAAAGAGTGATATTTCCATTGAAAAGTACAACTATTCACAGCCTTCAACCTAATACTTAGCCTCCACTGTACGTTTCAATAAGAGATTATACTTGAGTAACCCCCTCTGCTTTTCTTTTCCCCTTACTTTTCCTTCAAATGACCAGTAAATCCCTAGAACTCAAGCTCTCATGAACTAAACTCAAGTTTCTCTTAAACATCAAAGGATTTGTAGAATTCTACTTAGGCTACATCATAAATTTAAGAAGTGGCCTTTTAAAATAAAATGGACACATTCATAGTGAGAATATACTCGTCTCGCATATAGAGAAACCATGCAATGTCTGAGTGACTGTGTCAGTCTTTTCAATTCAGTAACAAGCAGCAGGTCTAGCTGTCCATCAGCCTAAAATCATGCCAGTTTTACAACAGGTGTTAATACTGTCACTTAAAGAAAAAGATGGTACTGATTTTGTTTCATATACAAATGTCAACAAAGTGCTATACAGAAAGCACAAGACCTGCTATTTGCATGAGAAATTCCGCTAACTAGTTATTTTACAATTGAATCTTTTTATGGTAAGCTCAAAACCCTTTATAACAAAACTTCAAATGACAATCTACATTTTTAATGATGTTTGCATTTGGTTCTATCAAACTACTGCTGAAATCAGTTGGGCTTCAAATAACTACTAACCTCATAAACACCATGCAAGGTAGATCAATTTTTATGTTTTAATTTCCATATTGTTTAAGGTAGAAAACTAAAGCATGGTTAAGATCAAACCACTTATTCTCAATAACTAAGAACTTATTTAGGCCTAGGATTAAAACAAATATGTAACTTGTCTGAGTTGGGTTACCTCTATTGTTTAATTCTTAGATATTCAAGTTGAATACATACCCGACTATCTTTAAAGAAATCCTGCAAAGTCTCTTGATGTTTCTGTATCTGCTGCTGGAGTGCAGTTTGTCTCTGTGCAAGCAATTCTTCTTGGGCTTTGTGGCTATAGCGCAGAACTTCTTTTTGTAGATTCAGCTGCTTCTGAAGTCCCAAGTTATCTTGCTGGGCTAAGATAGGTTGTGAAAAACTCAAAAGTCTGTCTTGAAATCTTGGGCTCATAGAATCGCTTGAAGGCACTGCGTGTTCATTCTTGGATGAATACAATTCACAAATGTTTTCAGATTTAACTTCACCAAAAGGTAGTGGAATAAATGAATGCTCTCTTTCCTTGGGTAGAACCAAAGAGGGAATAGTGTGCTCAGGAGATTCACTCTCCATCAACTTGCTTTGCTTGTTTAAAAGCAGTTCTTCCTGGGCTTTCTCACTAGAATGCACCACTTCCCTTTGTAAGGCCAACTGTGCTGTCAAATGATCTTGCTGAGGCAGAACAGCCTGTGATAAACTCAAAAGCCTATCCTGTGATCTTGGGATCTCAGGATGACTGGAGGGAACAGTATTGTTACTTCTGATTGGAAAAGATTTTTGGATTCTTTCAGAGTCAGCAACAGGCGGTGCTACCTGCGATAAGGATAAAGAGGAGCTAGTCTGCTCAGATGATACCCTTTTCTCCAATTTACTTAGTCTTTGCAAAAGCAATTCTTCTTGGACTTCCTGTCTGGATCGAATGGCTTTCCTCTGTATATCTAACTGCTGTTGAAATGTCTTTAAATCACCATGGTGAGGTTGGCTAAAATGCTCAGAAGATAACTTTTCCTCAAATGTATATTGTTTGGGCAAAACCAATTCTTTCTGGGTTTTCTCACTACATGGAAGGGAATTTGTCTGTGCGTACAAGTGTTCTTTAAATGCAAGATAATCTTGTTGAGGTAAAACAGGCTGTGATAAATTCAAAAGCCTATCAGGCAACCTTGGTATCTCAGAATGACTTGAGGAGGCTGTATTATCACTCTTCATTGGACAAGGTTCTTGGATTCTATCAGATTCAGTAACAGGTAATGAAGCAGATGAATCTTGCGTGACTAGCGGTAAGAAGGAAGAGGTGCCAGCCTGCTCAGGAGATATTCTTTCCTTCCACTCACTCTGTTTATGTAAAAGTAATTCTTCCTGAGCTTTCTGTGTAGACTGAACGATGGCTTCCCTCTGTGTAGCTAACTGTTCTTGAAGTGCCTTCAAATTATCTTGTTGAGGCTGGATGAGCTGGGATATCCTCAAAAGCCTATCCTGCAATTGTGGAATTTGTAAATGGCTTGAAGGAATTTGACCATCACTCTCTGTTGAAAGAGGTTCCTGGGTTGTACCAGATTCAGCAGAAGGTAAGGAAGTAAATGAAAGCTGTCCTAACTGGGGTATGAATGAGGAGGAGCCAGTTTGTTCAGAAGATATATTTCCTTGGGTTTTCTGGCTAAAATGAAAGGACTCCTTCTCTGTGTCTAGCCATTCTGGCTGTTCCTCCAAATCACCTTGTGGAAGTAGCGTATGCTGTGAAAATCTCGTAAATCTTTCCTGAAATCTTGGGATCTTAGAACGACTTAAAGGAAATGTACTATCACTCTTGATTGACATAAATTCCTGGGATCTTTCAGATTCAGCTACTTGGGATAGGCATGAAGAGGTGCCAGTCTGTTCAGAAGAAACTCTTTTTTCTAATTCTCTTTGTTTGTGTACAAATTCCTGAGTTTCTGGTTTAGCACCGAGTATTACCCTCTGTATGTGTGACTGTTCTTGGAGTGTTGTCAAATTTTCTTGCTGTGGCAGGTTACGCTGTGGAAAACTAAGAGACTCATCCTGAAATCTGGGGATTACTGAATGACTTGAGGGAATAATACTCTCCTCAGATAAAAGGTTCTGAATTTTTCTAGGCTCAATTTTAGCAGAAGCTTGCAAAGCAAGTGAACGTTGAGCTACCACTGGTGGGAATGAAGAACTCATCTGCCCAGACTTACTGTCCCCCAAATCCCTTTGCCTGTGTAAAAGTAATTCTGCTTGGGCTTCATGCCTAGCCTGAAGAGCGTCCCTGTGTGTAGTCAGCTGTTCTTGGAGCAACTTCAAACTATCATGCAAAGGTAGGAACTGCTGTAGGAAACTCAAAGATCCATCCTGAAATTTTGGGATTTCAGATTGGCCTGAGAGAAGTCCATTCTCACTCTTAGATGAATACTGCTCCTGGATTTTTCCAGATTGAGTACTGGCAGAAGGTAGTGAAGTAAATGTATGCTGAGCTCCCTGAGATGGGAGAGAAGGGGGCTCAGTCTGTTCAGACCATACTTTTTCATCCAATTCATTCTGTTTATGTACACATAATACTTCCTGGGCTTCCCGCCTAGCTAGAAGGCTGTCCCTTTGAATATCTAACTGTTCTTGGAGAAACTTAAAATCCTGTGGTAAGATAGGCTGTGAAAAACTCAAAAGCCTATCCTGAAGTTGTGGGACCCTAGGATGGCCCAAGGAAACTACAGTATCATTCTTGGTTGGAGAAGATTCCTGGATTCTCCCTGATTCAGCTGTAGCAGAAGGCAGTGAAGCAAACGAATCCAGAGGCACCAATGGAAGGAATATGGAGACACCAGTTTGCCCTTCCAATTCTTTCTGTTTGCCCAAAAGCAATTGTTCTTGAGCTTCCTGTCTTGACCGAAGAACTTCTTTCTGTAGGTCTAACTGTTCTTGAAGAGCCTTTAAATTATCTTGCTGGGCTGTGATATTGTCTGAGGATGGCAAAGACTTATCCTGCATTTGGCTGATTCCAGAATGGCTTACAGAAACTGTACTTTTGCTCATAGTTGAAAAGGGTTCCTGGATTTTTCCAGATTCAACTTTAGCAGGCAGAGAACTAAAAGAACGCTCAATCACCAGTGGTAGGAATGAAGAAGGTTCAGTTAACTTAGAAGATATTCTTTCATTGTCCTCTAGGAACATTTGCTGGGAGTCTAAAGTCTGAAAAGTGGTTGTGCTAGATGTTTCAGCTATTTCTCTAACATTCTGTACTATTAGTGGTTTATCATGTGACAAAGCCCTTGAAAGTGTATGAGAATCTTTAGGGACCAATTTATAGTCTCTCTGTTGTGTTTCAGTCTCTGAGAATTGCTTTGGCTGTTCTTGTGAGTCCAAAGATTGCTTGGATAAAACATCTGAAGTGATTAATGTTTCTGTTGTTTCTACCTGTCTTTGTGGAAAGTGATTTTGTCTTGGAACCTGAAAATAATCTTTTTCTAATTTGGGGATCGGTATGGGTTGTATAGGTTGATATTTGTTAGGACTCAACTTGGGTCTCTGACCTTGATCCCAATGCTCTGATGTAACAGTGGGTCTTTCAGATTTCTGTGGTGGTGCTGATATAACAGAATCAGATATTAATGATGTAGCTAACATGGATGAGTACTTTCTTTTTAATATGGTCTGATATTCAAGTAATCGTTTCCTGGCTATTTCAATGGATTGTCTGTGAAACCTACCAAAGACAAATGAACACAAAAACAAACAAATATTATTCTTTTTTGATGAGAAAAATGCCTCATATTCTCAAGTTTCTACACATTAAATTTAACAACAATCTAGGGTTGGCCATAATATGGTGGAAAAGGAATAACATTTACATTGCCCTTTGAGAAATCCACATGCCTGGTTCTAAGGGAATCCCAATTACAGCTTCATATAAACCAAATAATAAATCCTAAAGATGTAGCCACACACTATCACATATAAATTGTACCCTAGCTAATACCTGTTTTGCTGTAAAAGCTGATGTTGATAGTTTCGAATCATCTGCCTATGACTATCTTCATCAGAACTTATAGTGCATGGTGCTGGAGCAGTGCCAACCTAATAAAAGAAAAAGCTACTAATTAAAAGGCAAATCCAGAAACAAATACTAAAGCATTTTATATAAACTGAAGTTCTCTAATTGTAAACTTCCACATAGCTTTATTTTTTATAAAAAAGAAGACTGGCACTTCCATTATTAAGAAATGAACCCACCATTCTCTTTTAGTGCCAAGTCCAAGAGCTCAACATACCCATTACATACAAATCATGGTCATATATACCAGCACCCTCTAGAAACTGAAAGATGAAAGCCATTAGGTTTGTATAAACTTATTTAGATGTATACATTATTAAAAGAAAAATTACTAAATAAGAATTAGAAATGCTTTTGCTTTTTATATAATATAATGCTCGCATTTTCTTATTTCCCAATGATCTATTCAGGGATGAGATTTCCCGCACCCTACCCCGGTCTGTTGAGTTTTTTTTCTTTTTTCTTCTTCCAGCTGAGCCCTGAAGCAATCAGTTTCTAATCTTAACTTCTGTTGTTCAATTTGTTCAAGTAATTCCAACTGCTTTTGCTTCTGCTCTTCTATTTCCATTATCTAAGTAACAAAAATACTATTGCTCTATTAACAAACTCATACAAAAGAAAAATCTTATATGTATTACATTGAAAAGAAATAGGTCTCATCACCAAGAGTAATAATTATCCGAGAAGAAAGTGGTGATGTTTTATCTCTGTTATTGCTATTGCCAGAGGAAGGAAGAGAGTGAGAGATGGGAAAAGGGGAAAGGAGAAAAAGGGAGAGAAGTAAAAAGAGGCAGAAATGGAAGAAGAAAAAACACATTAACTATTTCTATTTCTTGGGAGCACAAGGAAAACCTTGATCACCACTGAAGACCCAGCTCTAGAGAAGTAGCAAATGATGCTCAGCCAAATTCTGTTTTCACATCTTTAATTTTACATTGTTCTCAGTAAGAATAACGACTGAAAAAATTAAATATCAAGGCCTCCCTAAACCTTTTGATTTCTTAGGCATACCCATAAACGGGCACAGTTATCTAATAGCCAAATAATACAATGAGCAACATTCTGTATCTTTTCTGTCAGGCATGAAACAGATGGGAAGACAATGGCAGAGGGATGACACACAAACTCTAATATTACACCAACACACACACACGGATCCAAGTCATAAGAACACAGGTTAGAGTAACTAAGTTTCATGAGGACAGGGACTGGTCTGTCTGGTTGCCTGCTCAATCCAGCACCTAGAACAGTCCCTAAAACATACATAATACATAAAAACTTACTGAATACATAGGAAAAAAGGAATGCATGTGAAGTTTTATTAAGAGGAACACTTCTACGAGAGATAATGAAGGATGATCTTGTTTTCAAAATAAAAAACGTCTCAGTCTGATACTTTACATGTTTCTAAGCAGGCAATAGTGGCTATAGCAGAGTTCCTGTCTTCATCCTCCTTACTTGCCCTCATAGGAGCCACTGAATTTAGACCATTTACAGTTCTGTAGTACCTCTAGAACTACACTATCAATACAGTAGTCAGTAGCTATATGCGACTATTAAAATTTAAATTAATTCAGATTAAATAAAATTTAAAAGTCAGTTCCTCAGTTGCACTAGTCATATTCCAAGTATTCAACAGCCCATGTAGCTACGGGCTACCACCCTGGACATAGATATGGAACATTTCCATCACCACAGAAAGTTCTATTGGACAATACTGCTTTAGAATATTGATTAGAAAACACTTATCTGAGAAGAAACACTGGCTCATAAAATTCTCAGTCCCCAGATGTATTTTTATAAAAACCATGACTATAAACTGACTGGCTTAGTAATAACTAGCCTCTGTCAAGGTAATCTGTGTTAAAAAAAGTCTTTTACTAAAGTAGATGGGACCAAAATTATAGTTAAGGAGGTTAAATTTAAAATTTTTCTTCTGAAATACCAGATTTTTAAAAAGCTGCTGGAATTCCAAACTCCAACTGTGTGTCTAACATTATGACAGGAAATCATTTATTCAACATTTATTGAATATTTATTATGTATGAGGCATTATACCAGAAACTATGTAGGATAAATTGAATTTTAAAAAAGATAGTCTCTGTCTTTAAAAAACTGACAAATTTTATAGGGAAGATAAGATACATACAAAAGTATAAATCACAAAGCAGAATGCAGTAAGGGTCGAATAAGCAGTACAAGTGAAGATGGAATGCTTCCTAGCAGCTGAATGTACAAGACAAGCTAGAAGAGATGGTATCAGAAGCAGCCAGACATCAAGACAAATCTCATGGGTCAAACAAACTATAGTACCTAGGGGTAGAAAAGAAGCTTTAAAAAGGAAAATTTCAAATTACCTGTTTCTGCCTTGCTGCCATTCTAATTCTGGCTGCTTCTTCTTGAGGATGAAGTAGAACTGAACTCTGAGCTACAGATGTGATAGGCTGAGCCTCATCTATTTCTAAGAGAACTGACAAAACAAAAATTAGTTTCAATAATTTAAAATTCTGACACCTCCATAATGCCCTTTATTCATTTATTTCATGAATTTGATTAGGAAAAAGATGTGAAGAGTCAGGCAAGTTTAACCTGAGGATGTGCTAAGAAGAAATACCTTGTTCCTTTTCAGAGCTTGTATGGCATGGAAGTGGTTTGTCTTCACTAGTAAGTGGTCCAGAGTCAACTGTTAGTGAATCACTTTCAACAACTGTAACAGATACATTATTATGAATATATTATCAATGTCAAGATTAAATCTGAACAAAATAAGAAAAATCTGCATTCAGATTAACAATTCAATTCAGGTCCACCTGAATAGCTTATTTAGTTTAGATCCAGTCACCTTCCAGATGACCACGTTTTATCCATTAAACACAAGCCTAATATAAGAAGACAGAAGACTAAAATTGTGAACAAAAAGGAAAAAATGAAGGACAACTGATTAAAAAGGTATGCTGACAAGAGCTTCAAACATAATGGAAAAGTATAAAAGGAACAGAACAAGCAAGGCACCAAAGTTTAAAAAAAGAGAAGCTAAAGAAATTTAAATGTATCTTTAACATATTTAGATATTAAGATTTTTATTATTTATGAAACCAGAGCAGAGAGGGAAGTTAAAGCAATCATATCGGGCCAGCCCCATGGCTTAGCGGTTAAGTGCGCGCACGCTCGGCTGCTGGCGGCCCAGGTTCAGATCCCGGTTGCGCACCGACACACTGCTTCTTGGGCCACGCTGAGGCCGCGTCCCACATACAGCAACTAGAAGGATGTGCAGCTATGACACACAACTATCTACTGGGGCTTTGGGGGAAAAAATAAATAAAAATAAAATCTTTAAA